TGGTCTGAATGTACGCATCCCTCGAAATTCATATGTTGAAATGCAATCTCCAAAGGACTAATATTAAGAGGTGGGGCATTTGGGAGATGATTAGGGCAGGGAGGCTCTGCCCTCATGAGTGGGATTAGGGCCTTTATAAAAGAGGCCAGAGGGAGCTTGTAGTCCTTTTTGCCCTTCTATTGTGTCCTTCTACATAAAAGGCATCATCTATGAGGAATAGGCCCTCACCAGACATGAAATCTGCTGGCGCCTTGATCTTGGACTTCCTAGCCATCAGAACTGTGAGGCATACATTTCTATTGATAAATTACCACGTCTAAGGCATTTTGTTATAGCAGCCTGAACAGACTAAGAAAGAGAGAATAGAAAGAAATTATGTCATTGTTACTCCACTTCTCTCTACTGTGTCTCCAGGCACTGCACCTATGCTGTTCTCTGGAGTATTTTCTCAGTCCATAGAATGAATATTTCTCTCCTCTAATACATTGGAAATTGTGGGACAAGGGCTGTATATTTTACTTCTTTTGCACCATTGGTGCTTAAATAAATATACACTAAATAAATGAATGAATAAATAAACAAATTTACAAATGTCTTGCTTTAATTCTCCCATTCACATTTATCATGCAGACAAAACAGTGGCAACTTGTTCTCTCTGTCCAATTACTTGGTTGATCTAGACTGTAAGCTGTGACCTCAGAGACTACCACAGTCTTGTTCACTGACACTTTCTCAGAGTCAATCATGGTGGCTAGCCTATGGAAGTGCCTATAAATGTATGTGGAATTAATGACTAAAGCCACAATTTCACAGCCAAAGAATCATGTATATATGTATCTATATAATATGTGTATATGTAATTTTAAAAAGTCAAATTCAAAAGTTAACTTGACCTCATCTTGTATTAACTGAGATTACAACATTAGTAGGAATATGTCCCCATTCTGTTTAGGCCTCCAGACACTTTACTATTTGCAGGACAATACCATCCCCACCTTAACAACCCCCATCCCACTGTGACAACATGTGGCTTGTCATCTATGACGACCTATCTCCACCTTGCGTGCCTAGCAACCAGGGCGTTAAGACATAAATGGTGTAAATAATGTAGTCAGGATTTCATCACAATACAACATTCCTTATAAGGACAGAGGTGTGTTTTTTGCCACATGAGATAGACCTTTGCCCTGAGAAATAGTATTAATGCCCAGAGTCAATTGATTTTCTTACTTTCTACATTGCTTGTTGTAATTTCCAAGATGGCATATTTACGAACACTGAGTGTTACACTGGGAATTGTATTTTTTAATCTGTATTACGTTGCTTGGGAACATTGCCATAAATTTCAAATTTGTGCATCTAAAACATATTACAAATAAGATGTATGCTATTCACATTCAACCTTAATATATATTGCACTGTCAGTGAATTAGCCAATAGCACACTGGAAAGTTTTTTGGGGATAATTTACCCATAAGATCAAGAGTAGAAAAGGAGGCAAATCCTAGTCCAATTTAACAGCATAGCAATGATTTTTACAGAAACCTTGACAGGGCTCCGAGGCTAAATAACTACCATTTCCATCACTGCTGAAAATGGCCTGTTTGGTACAAAATATGTGGGTACTTAGACATCATGAATTACTTATTGTTGGAGACCATCTTAGGGGGAGAGGATAATTTCTTATGCCAAAAGGTGGAGAAGGCAGAAAGAAGTGTTCAATTTTGAAGATGTTGCTAATAATATAGATGGTCCCTGACTTATGATGATTGAACTCATGATTTTTTAACTTCTCAGAATGGGTGAAAGCAATATGCATTCAGTAGAAACTGTACTTCGAATTTTGAATTTTGATCTTTTCCTGGGCTAGAGATACACAGTCCAACACCCTTTTTTGAGGCTGGGCTGCAGCAGCTCTGGTCAGCCACTGATCAGGAGGTAAACAACTGATACTATGCAGTGTCCTGCTGTGAGATCATTTTGCCCAACTGTAGGCTAATGTGTTCTCAGCACATTTAAGGTAGGTGAGACTAAACTATGGTATTCAGCAGGTTAGGTGTAATAAATGCGTTTCCACTTTCAGTATTTTCAATTTATGATGGGTTTGTTGGGACATAACTCACCATCACAAGCCAAAGAGCATCTGTACACAGAAAACAAAGGGTTTCTGCTATAGACTGGGGGGAAGTAATGACCACAAAATAATTACATTTCTGTAACAAAGAAGAGTTTATGAAATGAGACCTTGTAAAACCAGTTAGAACATTGTCAGATAAGTGAGTCTTGAAAGCCAAAGCAAAGGATGATGAAATAATGAAAATACAACTGTCTGTACCAAATGTATAGGAGTCTTGTGAGTCTTAAAAACGCATTAGAGGCTGAATTCATCTGGAAGACAAGGAAGAAAGCTCAGAAGATCTTGCTATTTCTACACTGGCAGGCACAAATGCTCCCTTCGCTCCAGATTGTCAGGAGCTATGAAATTCCTGTATTCTCTCACTTCTATTTTAGTGATTTCTGACAGCATTGAAAAAGTTTTTAGTTGATATAATTTATATCGTTTCAGCAGTTACTGTTGCTTGACATACATTTCCGTACTTCTAAAAGACATTCTTGTTTTCTTTCCTTCCTACCAGTCTCTTTCACTAGTTTTTCCTTTATGACTGCATACTTATAATGTGTGGATGCTCCCCGAGGTTTGTCTTCTTCCCTTTTTTTCTTGATCATACTCTTACCTTGGGCTGCCTTTTTTAGTTCCATGGCTTTGAATGACAGTGTATCCTAGTGATTTTTAAAATCACAGTTATAGTTCTGATTTCTTTCACTAAAAAAGCCATATTTCCAGCTGCCTGCTAGATAGGGCACACAAGCGTCTGCCTACTTCTTATAACTTTGGTTTTTTGTATTCTTCCTGAAGCTGATTCTTCCTTTTGCATTTTCTATTTTGCTTTTGAGCATCACCATTCCTCTAAGCCTTTTACCTGTCTTAAAATAATTTCCTAAATTTCTTCTCTCTCATACCCCATTTGGTTGATCCTATTAACCACGTCTGTTTGGTTAGGCCACTTCATCCCTCCAATTCCCACTGCTGCTTTTCTAATTCATATCTCATCAGAGCCCAGTGAAACATTTAACAGGCTTTCTTGCTGCCCTCTGTTCATTCACTGATTCATTAATTCAGTAAATCTTTATTGAATGTCAATGTTGTACCAGGTATTATTCTAAGCACTTGATATGATACATTGCTGTGAGCAGAACAGACAAAAAAAATCATTAAAAAGAGCTTATGCTATAGTGGATGTGGGAAACAACTAAAAAGACAAGTGAATTCATAATATGTTAGAAAATGATGAGGAATGTGGAGAAAATAAAGCAAGGCAGGATGGAGAAGGAGTGTCTGGGGACAAAGGTTGTTATGCTGCTTATGCTCAGTGAAAACTATTGAATAGGTAGGCTTCGATCAGAGACTGGAAAGGAAGTGAGAGAATAAACTGTGCATGTACTTGGGGCAATAACAGAGTTAGGGGCAGGCTTAGCACACTCATGATTCAGCTGTAATTTCCAAAGCAAGCTGGCCAAGATGGCTGGAGTGAAGTGAAGGAGGCGTAAGAGGAGAGGGCTTACCTGTTTATTCTGAGCAAGATAGGACACTATTTTACTTACCAAATAATCATATAATTCCACACCTTGCTATATGTACTATATAAACTCATTTAAACCTCATAACAGACTTAAGAAATAGTTACTTGTTATCTCTATTTTACAGATGAGAAAACTGAATCATCTGTAAAGGAGGGAGGGAGCTGAGATTTGAGCCAAAGCTGTCAGGTCTGTGCTCTTAGCAACTACGCTATGCTATTACAGGGATTTAAGCATAGCTACAGGGTAATCCAACTTAACAAATCACTGGATTCTCTGTGGATGATGTATTGCAAGGCAAAGGTAGGGGAAGTTAGAATACTATTCTAATAATTAAGGTGAATAATGATGGTGGCTTGAACCAGGGTGATAGCAGTAGATATTGGAGAAAGGTTAATCTGGTATATACTTTAAAAAATAGAGCAGATTGGGTTTCTTGACAGATTCTATGTATAGAGTATAAGAGAAAGAGAAAAATCTAAAATGATTCCAAGGTTTGTGGTTTGAGCAACTGAAAAGGTAGAATTCACATTTACTGAGATGGGAAGGTGGGGGTGCAGAAGAGAAGCATATTTGGGCCAGGGTGTGGGCCATCAATTGTAAATTTGGCTTTGGACTTGTTAAATTTGAGATGTCTAGAGAAGTTCAAATGCACATATTGACTAGGCAGTTGGATATATAATTCTGGGATTTGGGGAGAGGCCATGGTTAGAGATATAAACCTGGGAGTGTCAGTTATGGCCCTGGACGATACCACCCAGGGAGTGATTACAGATGAAGAAGTAGAAGAGGTTTAAGGATCAAGCCCTGAGGAAACTCCCAAATTTAAAGATCAGAGAGCTGAAGAAGAAGAGGTAAAGGAGGAGTGGGAAAGAACTAAGGGAGTGTGGTATCCTGGGAGTAAAGGAAGTCAGTGTCCTAAAGAGGGAAGAATCAGTTATGTCAACCCCGCTAATAGACTGAATAAGATGAGAATGTTAGGGTTAGGAATGTGGAGGTCATTTGTGACCAAAAGCTATTTTGGTGGAGTGGTAGGCATGAAAATTTTATTGGAGTAGGTTCAAGAGAGAGCAAACGTAGAGGAATCTGAGAAAGCAAGTGGAGAGGACTATTTTGAGGAGTTTTGTTGTAGCAGAGAAATAGTATAGTAGCTAGAAGGAATGTTAGGTAGAATTTCTCAGAATCACAGCTTGAAATAGAGATTTACGTGAATGGGATTTATAGAGGAATGCTGTGGGATGAAGGAGTGGAGGAAGCAGGAGAGGGGAAGGGATGTTGCTAATGAGGGATGTGTTCTCAGCTGGGGTCTGCTTTAGCTCCATCCCATAGGAGTTTGAATTGTACCATGAAGTTATTCCTACCTTGAAGCCAAGGGCTGGACCTCTGCACTCCCATGCCAGCCAGTTACAAGTTGTGAGCTGTCTCCAGTTGGGAATGTGTAAATGATTGGCCCAGGCTGCTTCCATTTGGCCAAGGGCAATTCTCTGAAGACAGGAACATCTTGCGATGCCCACCAACCTGCTACAAAAAAGATATAGAAGAGAAGCCAACAGTATTCACTATGGCAGTGAATGGAGTTTATTTTAAGTTGGGCAATATTAGGGTGTGTTTCTCTTGGATGGGAAAGGCCTAGTTGAGAAGGAACAATGAATACTTCATAATAAAGAAAATAACCAATTTCACCGTTACAATTTATCCTTTAAGTAGTAACCATAAATCTATACCAAGCAATACAAGATACTCTGAAAGTTCATAATTGTAATAAAACCTAAAATGTCAAAAATGCTAGACAGATTAAAAAAAAAACTTTAAAAATACATAGCTAAACATGGACATTTCGGAGGCCAAACAAGCATGCCATTTACTAGTTCCCTTTCCTTGAACAACTTAATTTACTTTTCTGTGCCTCAGGTTTTTCATCTAATATGGAATATTAGGAATAGTACTTAAATGATAGGATGTTGGCAATATTTCTATGAGATAATATATGAAAAATACCCAAAAAGCACTCGGCTGCTTTCCTCCTTCTCCTTTTCCTCTTTTTCCTTGTCTCAGGGGCTTAACTTCCATCATGTGCCTCTTGCACTCTTTTCTTCATCATTATTGAAAGACTTGTTCCTCTGTCCATACCGCCCTATTTAAAGCTTCCCTGTCTTTTTGGATGTGCTTGCTTTACTGAAATATACATGCCCCACCTTGCTCAGTTTTTCCTGTATCCTTTTTCTCTTCATTCAAAACACTACTCAGGTATCACTTTCTAATCTTTCCTTATTTACTTCCAGAGTTACTTGCTTTTTGCCCTGTACATTCCTTCATTTCTTGTATTTAATATACTTTCTGTAATGCATTCTACTCCTTCAATAGTATTGAGTGTTCCGGGTTCTAACCTAGTTGCTGTATTCCTTATAGATATACAGGTATTGTAATGAATTGTAATTACTTGCTTAGATGTCCTATCACATCATCTGTAATGTCAACTCCCAGACTTGCAGAGGCCATGCCTGTCATTGTGACCTCAATGCCTACTCAGTGTACGGGTCTGTATGTGACCTATTTGGAACCATTTGGCACCAGACACTTCGATGGGCGCTTTTACCTGTGCTTCTAAGCTATAGCTAAGCTGATGCTTACTACATATCTTAAGGTAGTACTATTCTCATTGCAGGTTTTTCTTTGAAATAGAGTATTAGGTATAACTAATCTAAATTTGTATTAATTTCCAATTCAGAAAAGAATATATTCAGTGGTAGAGTGAGGGGACTTGATTAAGCATGATTGGGAAGTTTAAATTGGATAAAAATACAATACAATGAATAGCTACAGAGACTTACATCAATATTTCTTATTACCAGTAATAATAAATAAAATCAGGTTGTTTTAAAGTGCAAGGTTTTTTTTTTTTCTCCTTTTCAATGATTTTGGCATGATTATTGAAGATGGCAGCTAAGAAAATTTGTTGATAGAGGGCCACTGGACTCATAAATACCTGGGTCCTACCTCTGTTTGCTTCTTGTCTCTGAATTGTTGTACAAGAATATAAGGAAAGAGGAATAAAATAAGGTAGAACATTTTTTCAACCTCTGGTGGCTTTGGCTCTAAACCTCAGGTAGAACTTGTGGTACAGCAGCTTGATAAGGCAAGGCTGGATCCCATGAGGAATGCCTTCTTCCTTCACGGAGTTGGCCTTAGAGGCCTGAAACCAACATCAGTTGAGACTGCATAGGAGAAGAAGATGTTTTCACTAAAATCTACAGCAGAGCTTAGATGGTTACCTGTCCCCAAGTCTTTCTGGGAATGAGGAGAGAGATGGCAGAAAAACAGAAAAAGTCCAGAGCCATTTTACCATGAGGAGTGAGAAAAGGAAGGGAGGGAGAGAAAAAGGGGAGAGGAGAGAGAGGTTTAGTGAGAGGAAGAGGAGTAGCAGCCAGTATTTGTTAAGAGCTTACCATGAGTTAAGCCTTGTTCTTGGTGCTTTATGTATTAATTCTTTTAATACTTGATTAAGTTTTTTTCTTTTAAATTTCCTTTTATTAAGCCTTTACTTCTGTGAGGTAAGTACTATTATTTATCTTTTTCTGCATATGAGGGAACTGAGGTACAGAATGATTAAATGACTTGTTCAAGGTCACTCAACAAATCAATATCATAAAAGAGCTTCCTCTTCTTGGGGTGGGGGCTGGGAAAGGGATGGACAGGAACCTTGACACTTGTTCTGAAATTGTTATCTGCTAGAGATGAATCGGAAAGGAGAATGATCTGTACAATTGATGATGCATCTTTATAGAATGTAACTGGTAAGAAAATGAAGAGAAGAATACAGTTTGATTTAACACGTATATTTCAAGCATTTCCTGTGTGCAAGGGACTATAGTAGGTGCTGGAAGTATAAAGAAGAATAAAACATTGTCTCTGTCATAGGAAAGCTGGCAGGAGAGACACATGTATGAAGAGCTCGTCTCTGTCTAGTAGAAGTAGATGGCATAATTGGAGCACAGGGTGGAGAAGCCTACCTGGGGGTTCAGAAAAGGTTTCCAGCAAGTAATTTTGATGGAGCTGAGTTTTAAAGGAAGAGGAAAGTCACTCAGATAAAGAAAAAGGGCAGGACATTCCAGGAAGAGGAAACAAAAGGAACAAAGTTTTTTCTGGAATTGTGTCTGTTTGGAATGATCTACACTTGGTTTTACTAAAATCTCAAAGGCAAGGAACCAGATGATGTAGGAGGAGGCTGGAGAAAGAAATGAGGCTCATATTTTAGAGATCCTGATAGGCCACGCTAAAGAGTTAGAGGTTAGGCATGTCCTATAGACATTAAAATGTTTGCTAGAGGCATGATCAAAATAATATGGTAGACTGGAGTGGAAATCAATGCAATAGAGACCAGGAGAGATCCATGCCTCATCTGTAGAAATTTAGGTTATAATAAAGGTGATATTTCAAATTCATGGAGGAAAGTATAACCTATGCAATTAATAGTGTTAGGAAAATTAGTTATGGATAGATAAAAAAGGGAAAGTAAACTATTATTTTATATCAGCCATAAAAATAAACTTCAGGTGAGCTAAGCAGCTGAACATAAAAGAAATTTAAAAGTATTTGGAGATTATATTGGAGCATATTTTTATAGGTTTGGAGGTGAAAAGGGCCTTCTTAAACAAGACATAAGTACCAGCAGCCATAAAAGAAATGATCAACCAAAAAACCTCATAAAAATTAAAATTCATCTCTGCACAATGAAAAGCATGATAAAATTAAAAGATGAGAAAACTGTAGCATATTTAATGGATGACTGATTATTGTGTAGGATATATACAGAGCTTGTATAAATCACGCAAAACAGAAATATAGATAGAGGTTATAGTAGGCAATTTACAGGAGAAATACCAGAGGCCAATAAAATGATGCTCACGAAAAGATGCTCTTCAACACTAAATTAGGTAAATATGAATAAAATATAAATGCTAGAAAAATTTGGTGGGAATATTAAGAAACAGCCACTTTCACACATGGTTAGTGGCAGTGTAAATTAATGTGGTGTTTTTGGAAGGCAATTTGGTGTTGGTCTATCCAAATCAATAATACACTCTTGTGGATAACTAACTACACACTGTCTGTGATTACTGTTTGGGAATCAAAGCACTTCTAGGTAAGCTGGCTTACCTACAGCTTCACATGAGTGGCATATGACTAAGCATGTCAGGATATTCCCTCCCTCTGGCCCCAGTGATTGATGGTGCTGGAGTGGACATAAGACCTAAGTTAATCAAATCAGAAAGAATCTCAGGACTTTTCCTTAGAATTCAGGGTCAAAACACTCCTTTTTTCTTGGTGGTTGTAGATGGGGAAACATGTTTCCTTGGAAGACGTTGGCAGCTAAGTGGGATCAATGAAGTTAACTATCCTTGGGAGGAAGTGAGTATTAGGGAAGGCAGAAGAAAAAGATGGGAAGGAATGGAGGTCCATTGGGCCAGTGCTTTTCTAAAGCAATTCCGCCCCAGAGTTTGGATCAAATGAGTCTAATATTTTCCCCTTTGCTTATACTGATCTGCCTTGAGTCTTCTGTCACTTGCAGCCCAATTGACACATGCATATGTGCTTTAACTGAGTAATGTAATTTCTATGAATTTACTGTTAGGAAATACTTGGACGTGTGCACTAGGATGTTTATTGCAGCAGCATTTATAATACATGAAAAATTAGAAACAACCTAAAATATTAACTGAAGAGTCATTAAATAAATTATCATAGATGCATATATGAAACATATAGCCATTAAACAGAATGAAGTAGACCTTCATTTACTTTTAATATACACATATTATAAGTGTATCCAGATACACATATATGCATATATAATAAGCAAACAGGAGGCTGAATGGCTGCTCACCAAATAGTGATATTGACTATCTCAAGGGAGAGGAATGAGAATTGGGGAGATGTGAAGGGGAGACTTTCATTGCTTACTCTGTTTATGTGATATTATATTTATAATTACTGAGCAACATTATATTATTAAAAAAGGGAACACTATGCTGCATTTAAAAGATGTTATGTCTTTATTCTGTTGCTAGTGATTCTAAAACTTTAGTCAGCATAATGAATGTCTGTGGCATTTTTAAGAATGAAGTTTTCTGGGCCCTCCCCTCTGAATCTGAAGTGTTAGAGCATAACCTGAGCATTATGGCTTGATGTTTTCAAAGCCCACCTTAGAGGTTATGCTGCATAGAGTATGGATTTAAGTGGGAGAGATAAATTAGGAGGCCATTGTAATAGTTTAGGAGAAATATGGTAGCTTGGACAAAGGTTGTATTAATGGGATAGTGAGATAATCCAGCTAAAGAACTTAAACATTCTCTGGCACATGGTAGGCAGCCTCCATCATCAGCAGCAACATTACTACTTCTATTGCTACCACTATGAAGGATTCTAAAAACATTTGAAAATAAAAATCAGCACGTAAGAACATAAGAGACTTCAATAAGATATTAAGTGGGCCAAATTAATATATACATATAATATCAACATTAACTTTCTTGTGTTTTATATCTGTATGTACATTTGCAGGAAATTCTATAACATGAAAATAGAGAACAAATTTTCTTTTCCTTTCTTTCTTTCTTTCTTTCTTTCTTTCTTTCTTTCTTTCTTTCTTTCTTTCTTTCTTTCTTTCTTTCTTTC